CTCAACCTTTCTCTCCAACAGCATCGCAACACACTGGCTCAGGGCTGCACCACTCCTCAGTTCCACTTCATTCTCCGGCTCATTCATCGTGCTAACAAGAAACTTTTTCTTTTCCTTTCAGGCATCAAGGCCCACAAGATGCAACAGCTCAGAGATACCCACGACCCTCCAGAACCTACCTCTCCTCCCCTTCCCTCTGACTCCATCCCCTCTCCCAGCCCCGCCTCCTGTCGGATATTTACCATCCCTCCTAACCTTCTGCTCTCCGATGCTGAACGCTCTGTACTCAGCAAAGGCCTCAGTTTTATCCCACTGTGCCCCACCTTAATGAATTTCGGGTACGACATGATGCCAAACTCTTCTTCCGTCATCTTCGCCTCTGTGCTCATTTCTTTGGGCAAGAGTCCTCTCCTGTCCTACAGAACCTTTCGCCCAATTCCAACACTCTCCCTCCACCTGGACCTCTCCCTCTGGCCTTTTACCTGCTCTCGATCTGTTCATTGAGAACTGTCGACGTGATATTAGTCGCCTCAATTTCTCTGTCCCTCTCACCAAATCCAAACTATCTCCCTCCGAACTGACTGCCTTCTGTGCACTTCGATCTAACCCTGACTTTGTTATTAAGCCTGCCAATAAGGGTGGTGCTGTTGTTGTCTGGCGTACTGACCTCAACATTGCAGAGGCTGAGCATCAACTCTCAGATACCTCCTCCTACCTTCCCCTGGACCATGACCCCACCATGACACATCAGGCCATTGTAACTACTACAGTAACTGATCTCATTTCATCTGGTGCTCTCCCCGCACCACTGCTTCCAAGCTGATAGACCCCCAGCCCCGCACAGCTTGTTTCTACCTCCTTCCAAAAATCCACGAACAGGACTGTCCAGGCAGACCCATTGTTTCAACCTGCTAGAGTTCTGAGGAAGAGTCACTGGACCCAAAACATTAATTCTGACTTTTTCTTCACAGATGCTGCTAGATCTGCTAAGTTTTTCCAGCAACGTCTGTTATTGTTCCTGATTTACAGCATCCACAGTTCTTTCGGTTTTTATTCAACTCACATCTTTCTGATTCATTAGCTAGCAACTGAGGCAGTATTTTCAGGAGAGTGTGACCAAGAGCTAGTGGGGACCAATTTGGAGAAGTATTGTAATTACATTTGGGTGTTATGTTTGTTTTAATTTTAAAGGATTTTTTTGTGTGTGGTAAGGGGGGAGTAACAGTGCTACAATAGCAACTTGTAAGATCATCAGTGGATTCAGATTGTTTATATATAACTCCCTAACTAGTAAATTAGAAATTCAGTTTTCCTTAGTTTGTAAATTCAGTGAGAAGAGTGGATTATACACTCAAATTATAAAGTTTGTTTTAAAAGAAAGATTTTTCCATTAAATTATAAAAGGAACGCAATTTTAAGACAAACAATTCATGTTTAACAACTACAGAGGTTTGTAGAAAAATAATAATTAAAAATATGTATAAAATGATGTTAAAAATGCAATTTGATTGTTGCAGAGACAGCATAACAATGGGAAGATGAGATTTAGACACATGAGGATCCAGCAGGCCATTCTGATCAGAATCCCTGCCCGTCCCCAAGATTGCAAACATCAGCATAGAATCCCTACAGTGTGGAAACAGGCCATTCGGCCCAACAGGTCCACACTGCCCCTCTGAAGAGCATCCCACCCAGACCCATTCCCCTAACCCTGCATTTATCATGTCTAACACACCTAATCTGCACATCCCTGGACACTATGGGGCAATTTAGCATGGCCAATCCACTCAACCTGCACGTCTTTGGACTGTGGGAGGAAATCGGAGCACCCGGAGGAAACACACGCAGACACGGAGAGAATGCGCAAATTCCACACAGACAGTCCGAGGACTGGAATCAAACCTGGGTCCCTGGCGCTGTGAGGCAGCAGTGCTAACCACTGAGCCACCGAGCTGCCCCTAAAGCGAATTCTGAATATTCAGAAGGTGATAATTTAGTTTTTACACTGCACACCCTTTCGTTCTGAATGCAGAAACCACTTCCTGGATTAGTTCCATCATAGGAGCAGAGAGGCTGACGTTTCGGGCCTAGACCCTTCATCAGAAAAGGGGGAGGGGATTTCACAAGTTTCAAAATCTCCCCTCCCCCCACCGCCTACCAAAACCAGTCCAGCTCGTCCCTGCCTCCCTAACCTGTTCTTCCTCCCACCTATCCCCTCCTCCCACCTCAAGCCGCACCTCCATCTCCTACCGACCAACCTCATCCTGCCCCCTTGACCTGTCCGTCCTCCCTGGACTGACCTATCCCCTCCCTAACTCCCCACCTACACTCACCTTTCCTGGCTCCATCCCCGCCTCTTCGACCTGTTTATTTCCTCTCCACCTATCCTCTCCTCTATCCCTCTTCTATCCACCTCCCACTCTCTCCCTATTTATTTCAAAACCCCCTTCCCCTCCCCCTTTTCTGATGAAGGGTCTAGGCCCGAAACGTCAGCCTCTCTGCTCCTATGATGCTGCTTGGCCTGCTGTGTTCATCCAGCCCTGCACCTTGTTGTCTCGGATTCTCCAGCATCTGCAGTTCCTACTATCCTGGATTAGTTCCATGTACGAGAATCTTGAGCTATGAGGATAGATTGAAGAAGTTGGGACTATTCTCCCTGGAGAGAAACAGGCTGAGAAGTGATCTCATTGAGGTTTTCAAAATCATGAGTGGGATGGACAGAGTAGACAGGGAGAAGCTTGTAAAAGAAACAAGAACCAGAGGGCATAGATTTAAAGTGAAGTGCAAATGGAGGAAGGGTGACGTGAGAGGAAAAAAGTAATTCATACAGTGAGTATTTAAAGTATGGAATGCACTGCCTAGAAATGGGGTGGAGGCAGATTCAATTGAGGCTTTCAAGAGGGCATTGGATTTCTTTAGATAGTTTTTTTTTCCTTTATTCATTCACGGGCCAACCCTAATTTCCCAGAGGGCAGTTAAGAGTCAACCACATTGCCGTGGGTCTGGAGTCACATGTAGGCCAGACCAGGTGAGGATGGCAGTTTCCTTCCCTAAAGGACATTAGTGAACCAGATGGATTTTTCCCCAACAATTTGCAATGGATTCACAGTCATCATTAGAGTCTTAATTCCAGATATTTTATTGAATTCAAATTCCACCATCTGCCATGGCAGGATTCGAACCCAGGTCCCCAGAACATTATCTGGGTCTCTGGATTAACAGTCCAGCAATAATACCACTAGGCCTCCCTTAAAGTGTGCAGTGATATGGGGAAAAGATTAGCTAATAGAGGTAGTGTAGGTACGATGGACTGAATGGTCTCCTTCTGTAGTGGAATAGTTCTGTGATTCTCCTGATGTTCAAAGACCCTGTCTGCAGGTCCAACCAAATTTCTAATCTCAGCAGAGCGAGGAGTGTCAGCACACAGCAGCCTCAATGAGGGAATGTACTGGAGAAGTAGAACTCCTCCCTCTCCTGCACTAAACACGATAATTCACGGATGTAGGAACCTGAGTGAGCAGATTGCCTGTGCTCCCCCTGTACCTCTGACAGCCCAATGGCTAGAGACTGGGAAGCAGGGGACAGGAGAGAAATGAAATTGTGTTCGTTGTCCATCCAGCTGATGCAAGATGTCCTGGAAATCTGGTCCCGCAGAATCAAGTTCCATGTTTAAATGATCTGCACCCAAGGAGTGGGAAGTGTGAAGGGCAGCTGAATTTCATAGATGAATGGGCCGTTTCCAGGGGAGAACTGCGTCACTCTGTCAACATTGACTTTCAGTGTGAACTCATCCCACCTGTGTTGCTGCTGAACCAGTAACTTAGAGCAATGCTTAAAAGTTCAGACAACAAGGAAAGTTCACTGGTCTGTAAAGGGGAGCAAAAGAAGAATTCCTGTTTTCACATTTCAGATTTGACACTTTGACCTTTCCTGGGGATTCCTCAGTTTCGCCAAGTAATTTGTATGCTGTGATAACATTTTTGAATGAAACATGGAGGCAATCCCATACCTGTTACATCCTCACTGAGAGAGACAAGCCGTAATCAGAACTGAAAACCAAAGCACAGTCTCTCCCTAAGGTGACCCTTATTTAATTTCTGAGGAAGACTCACCTTGCAAATGGAGGTCAGTTTTGCTCTTTTCCAGGAGTTTACAGGGCTCTCCTTCCGGGAAGGTAAGATTAACTGGAGGCTCCATCTGAGTTTTGGGTAATGTGCCTTGGTATACAAACATGGAATGCCACACTGTTTGTTTAAAAATATTGTTTTAATCACATAAGAGGGATGCAGAATCAAAAGCATCTCCTACAGTGAGTGGACAATGAATACTGCCAGGAATTATTACACATTTGAGTATAGTTAATGTCACTCTGTTACAGTACAATGTTGGTACCAGCCAACTTCAGTTACAAAAAGGTTGTGGAATTCTGCATTTTCTCCCCCCTCTAATAATGCTGTGATTTTCTTTCTTCCTCTCAGTTTTCATTGTCACATCATGGCGCTGACTTGTTCTCATGGCACGTGACCCTTCGTCACTCTCTGGTATCTCACTCAAATCCAGAGAGTTCATTCACATGATCACCCATCTCCTCAACCTGAAAAGTCTTCTAGTTTCAAAATAAAACAACATGCAAATTGTTCTCAATGCCTTCAGTGATTTTGTCACAGGGAGAGGTCGATTCCATGAGACTGCAGGGAAATTCTGCAGCAAGTTGACAACTTTGGACATGTGTGAACCCTGTTCTGAGTCAGACCCCTGACTCACCAGTATCATAGAATCCCTTCAGTAGGGAAACAGGCCATCAGGCCCATCACATCCACATCGGCCCTCCAAAGAGCAGCCCACCCAGACCCTATCCCTGTAAACCTGCATTTCCCATGGCCAATCTACCTACCTGCATAGCTTTGGACTGTGAGAAGAAACCGGAGCACCCGGAGGAAACCCACGCAGACACAGGGAGAATGTCTGTGTGGAGTTTGCACAGTCACCTAAGGGTGGAATTCAACCTGGGTTCTTTGCACTGTGAGGCAGCAGTGCTAACCACTGAGCCACTGTACCGCCCTGAGCAGCCCTAGCCAACACCCTCCTCCATAAATACCCTTCCTGCAAATCCCCAGCTAAAACTAACCAGACCCAGCTTGAATTGTGAGACATTTGCACACTCACACATTCATGTTAGCTACTAAGTCAATGAAGTGACCACTGCCAACATAGTGTGGCTACAGCTTGTAGGCTCTTGCCCCAGTAGGCTACTCCTAATGCCCATTCTGTTTCAGTGAGGTCCCTGTAGATTTATCAGGCACTGTAATTAGTAAAAGGAAAGGAAAGGTGTTTTCTGTACGAGTTTAAGAAAATAATCTCCATTGGCAGCTACTTCACAGATCTAACATAATCTGCTACAGTCTGTTGAATTAGGGACTCGACGAAATCACTTAAGCCACCAACCAAACCCCTTCCCCCAACCTGTCACCCCATCCCCATCCCAACACATCACTCCCTGAGGAAATATTCTCCCTGCCCTTTAAACAAAGGTGATCATCAATTTCCAGAATACCTTGTTAACTTTAACAACTTCCACTATTCAACAGCAATCCTTTCCATCACCACAGAAATGATTAGGTCAACCAAAATAAAATCACAAGCATGTGGACAGACAGCAAGTGGAGTTGAATGAACAGTTAAGTTTGTTCTGTCTCCATTGACCCACAGAAGGTTCTGATCAGACCTGATTTTGCACTTGTTAAGATTTCAGTCTCTGTCACTTATTTTTTGCTTAAAAGTTGTTCAGTATGAAAGTCCATGACCAATCAGATCCTACACCACTTCCTCTTAGATATGAAGAGGGGGTTTCTTTGTACTTGACCGTGAGGATCTTGCACTGTTACTGCTGTCTAATGATTTGCTCTTGTGAGTAGACTCTATGTCAGAATCGTTGGTGTTGCAACTGATTGCACTTTTCTTCTCTATCAGCCGGACTGCGTGGGGATCCCTACCTTTCTCATAGTCACTGTTTGACCGGTTTTGTTGCTCGCAGGCTTTCAGTGGCTTCCGATAAAACAATTTGCGAATAACGTGGACCAATTCTACAAAGCTAACAATTGCAGAAAGGACACCAATTACGAAGTAGAACATTAAAAACACTGTCTTCTCCATTGGACGGGAAACAAAACAGTCCACAGTGTGAGGGCATGGGAAGCCGGTGCAGAGAAACTGGGGTTCGATCGTAAAGCCATATATTAAAAACTGACAAACGACGAGGCCGATCTCAGTGAGCAGACGCAGAATCACTTGAATCAAGTAGAATTTCTGTAATCTTGGCCCTTCAGAGGCCAGCCCTTTACTTTCGATGATGCTAACGTTCTCTGGCTTCTTATCCTTCGAGGACTGGTGCACAGCATAGACCACAAACAGTAGGGTTGGGATGGACAGAATCACAATGTGGAACACCCAGAACCTGAAAGGTGAAATAGGAAAGGCCTTGTTGTAACAGACCTGTTTACACCCCGGCTGCAGCGTGTTGCAGGCAAACTCCTCTTGCTCGTCCTCAAAAATGTCACTGCCCACCGTGGCCAGAACGAGCATCCGGAAAATTATCATCAGGAGAAGCCAAATGCGACCCAGCATAGGCGAGTGGCTCTGGACGGAATCGAGGAGATCGCTGAGGAAGTTCCATTCTCCCATCGTAACTCAGTCCAACTTTCTCTATTGCTGTCTGTTCAATACCTGCAGCAAGGGACCAAAAACATTTATCAGAGATGCACCGAGTGACTCAATTAATACTGTCGAGATTTTCATTCCAGCTTCTCAGAGATGGCATTACACACCTCCAGAGCTGATGGCACTTCAACCTGGGCCTCCTGACTCAAAGGTAGGGACACTGCCAGTGCCCTACTAATTAACACCATCCACTCTCGCCTTAAACGCTGCCTTCATTATTGCTCGTTTAGCATTACACCCTCCTAATCGCTGAAAGTTCGATTAAGACTGATGCTTGCAGTTGACTCAGATTCCAATTCAAATGGCTGCACTAAACAACAGTCCTGTAATATAACGACCTGCCAACTCAACCAGCAAAAAAGATGGTTTTGGTTGATGGAATTGAACTCAGATTCTGAAGAGAAGTGGATTGAAACACAGTATCACATATCTCTTGAGTTATAGAAGACTTCTACAGCAGCCCTGACTACCCCAGATAAACACATCACTGCTATGCATGAAAGGACAATGTCACAAACCTCCTCCAAGTTCTTCGGTCAGTGGAAGATTGCCATCAAGACTAATTCGATTGGATACATCTACAATAGGAGCAGGAGGAGGCCATTCAGCCCTTCGAGTCTGCTCCACCATTCAATATGATCATGGCTAATCATTCTACTCAATACCTAACAACTGCGGGTACCTGTGACGAAAACAAGATGCAATACACCATCTGCTCCCAGGCTTGAATGTGACACAGCAGAATAAGGTGTCATGACCACAAAGGGTTTCTACCAGGAAATTAGGGGATGGGGAGGGGCATAGAAAGGTTGCCAGGATATGTCTGTTGACTCTTTACCAGGACCAAACTTGGAACAGAAATACTGATGGTGTCCTGTTTTATAAAATTCTCATCATGCCTGTGAAGTGTTGCTAAGGAACACCCATATTTATTCTATCAAACAAATATTACAGTGGAGGTCTGAAGCAAGTTTTTCAATAACTTAAACCCCGTCATTTGGAGAAATCATGATTATAGGTGGTGCAAATGCCTAAGAAACAGCAGCATGCAAGAATGCACTGAAACCTCTAATCTCTGTCATAAAGCCATGAATGAAGGTGTCTAGTTGCAAGGTGTTCCATTGATTGAGCCCTTGTTAGTATTGTACAATTCACTATTGAGGAAATGATTGCTTTGTGTAACCATTTCCTGCTCCCCCTTCAATACACATGATTGCAGTCATCTCAGCTATTCTGCAGGGTCTTACTGCGGGTTCTGTTCACTATATAAATGCAGGTTCTTGATGTCCATTGATGCTGCAAATAGCTGAACCCGTGTGGATTGACATGGACAGGAGAGAATTCAAGTAATCTCAGTTGCTCGTCATCTCCCACTTGCCCCTCCACAAATGAAATGCATCTCCCAATAAACAGTACCACCCTTTGTCCCCTTCCAGTCTAATTGGAGCCATAGGTTTAAGTCTTTTTTAAAATTCATTGCTGGTGTAATAATAAATCCTTCTGAGGCACATCATCGGTACCTCTGACAAATGGCAAGCACAAAAGTCATTAGTTCCTAATTAGATTCAGTATGAAGTGCTGAAGGGAAGGGTAATTGGGGGCAGGAGAAGAATTCAGGTTGATCTGCTCTCAGTTGTGATATTCAATCAGAACAGTAGAATGCAGTCCCTGCCACACCCTTTCCTCTGATTATAGCACCGGCCCTTCAAGCAGCCAGTGGCTAGATTAAGGACTTGGCGTCTCTGTTGACTTGGCAGCAACAGCTGCCTCAGCACAACTGGGAAAGGCTGTGGGGGAACCGCGGAGTTGACAAAATTCTTACCATACAAGATGCTGAAAATACTGGCAAATAAATCACTTGTGTGTGTACAAGACACATCCCACATTTGCCCCCTAATTAACACAAATCCTGTGGGGTGTAAAATTGGCATTGACTACCTGTTTGAGAAGCTGTTTGATTTTTATCTGTAAGGAAATAATTGTCAATTGCAATACCTAGGCTGCAAACTGACGAAATCTACCCCTGTGAATCAAAATATTTATTCCTAATATTTCTTAAAGAGCACTTTCCCAACCTGTGTCCTATGCTGCCTCGACAATACGCACAAGGGATCACCACCAGCCTCTAAGTCACACACCATGCTGATTCAAAAATGTATCAGTAATTCATCACCATTGCTGGGTTAAAATGCTGCAAGTATCTAACCTGCACTGTACAATACGGACTGCAGTAGGTTGAGGTGGTAGCTACTCCCCCACAGTGAGCCTGACCAACAATACTGACATCCCATGAACCAATAAAACAGAATTTGTACCAAGGAAGAGGTGACACCATCTACAGTTATGAAGCTTGTCTCGATTAAGAATTCTCCTTTTTGAGTTGAATAGCTTTAGCACAATAGCAGTTCTAACTATAGAGAGAACAGAAAGAAAATTTGCCTTATGGTTTATGTTAATGAGTGGGGTGTATTTATGTAAGGAACGTAAGAAAACATCAAAGATTTCATGTTTGAACATCCTCTCAAACTGGGACTGCAGTTGGGCTTTCAATTATTACCAGTGCTGATAAATTGGGAGAAATGGGAGGAAGATTAACAATGGCTTTTATCGAAAGGATGAGCTGATGGCATAAATCCTGCATGTGCATTTGTTTTTTGGATATTGGTTATCTTTGATTGTTTTTTACTGAAAAGGCAGTAGCATAGTGGGTAATGTCACTGAATATGCAATTCAGTGACCCAGATAAATGCCCTAGGGTCAGGGTTCAAATCGCACCAGTGGAGTTCCATTAATGCATCTGAAATATAAAGCCAAGGCGCTATGAAACTACCATTGGTGCTTGTAATAATATCCTACAGGAATCCTCATCCAGTCTGGCTGAAACGTGACTCCAGACCAACAGCAATATGGATGACTCTTTATGAATGGGGAATGGGCCACAAATGTTGTCATAGCCAGCAATTTCTGCATTTCCCCTGAAGATTAAAGAAATGAGCTAGGCCATTCTGTCATCATTAAGACTACAAACACACATGTGTGACAGAACAGGCAACTAGGCACACATGAGAACAAGTAAATGGCCAAAGGTAATGGTGCCTGGGACAATGGGTAATCACAGAACAAACTAGAGGAGACTGACAGCAATTCAGATTAGAAGTGAAAATTAAATTTATGTTATTACTTTATTAAAACAAATTAAATGACTAAAAAACCAATTCCATATTTACGCTCAGTAGTAAGAATGCCTTGCTGGTTTCTGTGGCATAGTATTTAAGGTATCGGAGCAAATAGTTTCCACGGCATCTAACATCAAGCTCCTAGGCACCTCAGACATAGTGGCATTGACACTTGCTCTGACTTCCCTTTCTACTTAGCTGACAGACATTCCTGCGGAGATGTGCCTGGTCAGAAATGAAAAGATCAGGCAATTAGTGGGCCGTTGACAAGTCTTTTCCTGAGACTAAATATGATCTAAACTCCCTCGGGAGCTCTCCCAAGCTCTCCAGTAGTTTGGACATTCAATGTGGAAGCATTTACTGTGTTTCACAGCTGTTGTTGGTCACTATCCATTTGCGTGAGGTCAGCACCAATAATATCTGACAATGGGCATGTCTGACCAGCTCACATCCTGAATTTCACATGGGACATCCTGGCTTGTTCGTGCACAGCCTGCCGCACTGGGAATCAAACATTTTTTTTATTCACTCTCGGGATGAGACCATCACTGGCTAGACAGCATTTATTGCCCATCCCTAATTGCCCAGAGGGCAGTTAAGAGTCAACCACATTGCAGTGGGTCCGGAGTCACATGTAGGCCAGACCAAGTAAGGATGGCAATTTCCTTCCCTACAGGGTATTAGTGAACCAGATGGGTTTTTACAACAATTGAAAATGGATTTATGGTCATCATTAGACTCTTAATTCCAGATATTTTATTGAATTCAAATTCCACCATCTGCCATGGTGGGATTCAAACCTGCATTAACAGTCCAATGATAATACCACTCAGCTATTGCGTCCACAACAAGTGTCCAATGGTTACAGATTGGAAGAAGACTTTCAGCCTATTGTATCAGTGCTAATTCCGTTAACTCCACTCATCACCTTCTCCCCGTAGCCCTGCAAATGTTTTCTATTCACAGAATCACAGAAGAGTTATGGTGCAAAGGAAGTCATTTGGCCCATCGTATCCACACTGGCTCATTAAATGAGTATCATTGGCACTAGGGAATGTCTCGTTATTTTTCACCACATATCTTGCACCGTATTTTTATCATATAATCATATAGCAAATATAATATAGCAAATAATCATCCAATTCCTTCTTGATTGCCTTAATTGAAGCTGTCTCCCTGACACTTCCAGGCAGTGCATTCCATACCCTAACTATTTGTTGAATGAGCACGTTATTTTTCGTCACTTCACCATTGCTCCCTCAATTGAACTGCAATCGTCACCATCCAACTTGGTGTGATTTGAGCCCAAGTCTATTATGTGGGACACTGAATGAATAAATCTAGCAAGAATATTACTACATTATTGTCTCACCTTATTTAGATAATGGTCCAATTCCCTCTTGAAAGCTGCAATTTTACCTGCCTCCAACACACACACTCAGGCAGTGAATTCCACATCCCAACCACGTGCTGCTTTTTTTTTTGCTCTTGTCACCTCTGGTACAGCTGCAGGACAGGTAATCCAGAGGCGGAGGCTAATGCTCTGGGAACATGGGTTCAAATCCCCATCATGGCAGATGGTGCAATTTGAATTCAGTCACTCGGGGAGGTTGTGGAATGGCAACGATGGTAATGAAACAGCACGAGTAACTCAGTGCTCCAGCCTAATGCTTTGAGGAACAAATCCTACAATGGCAGATAGTAAAATTCTTTTTTTTTTAAAATGCTGTGGCAACTGTGTGTTTTGTCTTACAATTATATAAAATTACATCACCAAATCGCTGTAATCAAGAGTGGGTGATTGTGCCAGTGTAACTCTGAACCAGCTAT